TATCTGGACCTGGACTCTTCTCTGGCTGAGCAGCGAGACGAGCTGGAGAGCTTCTATGAAGATGTGGCGTAAGAAAAGCTTTAGTGTGTGTGTGTTAGTGTGTGTGTGTGTGTGTGTGTGTGTGTGTGTGTGTGTGTGTGTGTTTATTGGGAACATGACTGCAGCCAAACATGTCATGCAGAGACATGCCGTCCTTGTAACCCCACAAACAGAAAAAAGAAGCACTGGACCCACACAGACCAAAACAAACGCTGTCAACAACATACTGAAGTATTAAAATAAAATAAAAAATAATATGGGGAAAAATAGCCAAGTTAAAATAAAGACAAAGCACATTTTTATCCTTTTATAAAACAATAGTAGTTTACCATTACTCGTAATACACTTTATGTAATTTAAAGTACTATTGTTATTATTCATTTTAATTATGTTCGTATAGCACATGTGTAACATTGATTGTTTAGTAAAAGTTGTTTACACGTTGTCGCGAAATCGATCAATGCAGAGCAGTGTCACAAACCACGGAGGCCCCAGAAAAGTGCAATCAAACAGCCCGGAGAAAAGATCAACATATGTCTTCTGACCAAAATACATGTGGTGGACACTTATAAAGCAGTGGGCCTGACACATTCCTAAATTATATACATGTACTGTAAGCATGCATTGCAGCTATCCTTCTATGTTCTAGTTTCCCTCAGCATGTATCACCTGGACAGTCACGCCAGTGAAGCTTAAGACCCTTAATGAACCGAACATCAGCTCAAAGTAAGCACAGATATGCAATGTGTATAAAATACTTCCAACCGTACTTGTAATAAAAGTTAACTTAATGGAAGGATCCTCATATGAACATCTTCAATAAACAACTGTAATGCAGTATCGATACGGTGAGAAATATTATTAGATGAAACAATGCTGTAAAGAATGTTATCAATGCAGTTATAATGATGCAGATTATATGGCAGCAATAAAAGAATTTCTGTATCTCCACAACGTTTAGTGATAAATAAGTGAAAACAGTTTTTGCCGTCGGGCGCTTTAAACGCTTTGCTCGCTGCAGGCGGCGGCTTCATACTGACCGGCTGCCCGAGAACGTACGTGCCTCAGAGTATAACGATGATGCCCAATTGTGACATCAGCTAAGATGCACTGGAATAGTTTGAGCTTATGCTGTATATACTATACACTCCTGCCAACACTGTCTTTAAAGGTGTAAAACATTCTGGGGGGTTAAAAAAGGCAGGTGTGAAAGTGAGATCACAGGAAGTACCATTTTAAATGTAATTATTGTAATTATTAATGCTATTTTATTTTATATAAAAATAATAATAATTTTAAAATGTACATCTGAAGCTCAGAGGTCCAGAGTGATATTTAGAATCCCTGTGCACGTAAACGTTGTCTGAGTCAGAAACATGGGTTTAAATCACTCTGTATGGCATCATCGCTTTGACCTTCTGTTGACCTTGAAGGTGATATTTTAAATTTTTACTTTTCACATGTTGCCAACAGACAGCACGCTTGTAAGTTGTCGTCAATTTTCAGCCAATAAATCATGAAGTTAACCACAAAGACCTCGGGGGATGGAGGCCATTTTTTAATCAATTGTTAACATGACCCCGCTCGTCACCGATCAAAACTTCGTGTCTACAGACAGGAGCACCAAAAACACAACTTCCTTGGTAGAGGTAATAGAAATATGAATAATCAAAATAATGGCTAAAAGGAGTAGAATTAGTGGGATAAGTTTTCTTCCACTTATCCCATTCAGGGTTAGGAGGCGGTTGAGCCTATCATAGCTGTCACGGGGCAGGAGGCCCGGGACACCCTGGACAGGTCAGTCTGTCACAGGACTAAAGTGCACAGATAACCCTGCACACCTATGGTTGGTTTTCCTAGCCCGATGCAGGTCTTTGGACTGTGGGAGGAAGCTGGGTTCAAATCCAGGCCTCAGACTGGATCTTCTTTCTGTGAAGAATCACATTCATTTCAGTGATGTGGAACTGAAACACATTATAGCTGCTTGGTGACTGTGTGTGTCCAGCAGTGTAAACTGTGCGATGCTGTACGAGCGTCTGAAAAACGTATTCTTCTTTTAGCCTCCAGACAAACACGCCCACCTTTACATCTTCCCTTCTCCTGTTTCTCCTTCTTTCTCGCTCTCATTCTTTCCATACCTTCATGCTGTCGTTCTTTCCATACTCTAATCCCAGCATGCCGCAGTCTGACTGTATGTGGAAACTTAGCTGTTCTGGGATCACCTCAGACCAGCTGTCTGCACACACTGATCACACTGACAGTGGATCAGGACTCCTTGTAGAAGCTTTGTGAAAACTGCACTCAGATCTGATAAAACCCACTTAAACCCACTTTGGAGGTGGTTCTTCCATCATCTTTACTGACTCTGTGTTCTCTCAAATATGCCAACTCGGGACTCTTTGAGTGCCATGTCCCTCTCGTACGATGATTCGATTACACAAAAGTTAATCTGGTTAGATGTCTGTCACGGAGCTGGCTGCTCTGACTGAACCTGAACTCGGAGTCGTGACTGTTTTTTGTTCTGAACTCAAACGGTTTCTTATTTTTCCACAGGAAAGGAAGGAAGCCCATCCTGATTCTGAGGACTCAGCTCTCTGTTCGTGTTCACTCCATCCTGGGTAATTATGTCCTCAGTCTTCTGCTTTACTTTTTCCCTCCGTCCTCTCCTGCAGCACAGGAGTGATGACTCAGGGGAAACTCTCGCCATCTTCCACCACGGTGACGTGTTTCACTCAGCTGGGAGGATTTCCTCCCTCTGAGTCTGCAGCTTAGAAAATACGGCGGTTACTTTCTCCACATGAAGTGGAGCTCAGGTTTAGAGTTTTACTCGGCTGTTGTTTTATTTGTTGAAGGTGCTGAACATCGGGAAAGGTTAGCAGTAGCTCCTCTGAAGCTTGTTTACAGGGATCAGAGGTGTCCTCTGAGCAGGCTGCTGGAAGGCTGAAAGTCTTTAAAAGCTTCATGGTTTTAAGTGCATTTTGGGAAATGTAGTTTCCTGCAGACTGACCCCACAGGGAGCTCACTGCTGCATGTAAATGTGAGTAAGACAGGATTAGCATGACTCTTTTCACTTCAGGCGAGCTCCAACTAAAGTCTGACACTGCAGACATTTTTAAGACCAGAAAAAAATCTCCCATTGAGGTTTCCATGGAAACGGATCGGCTTGAGAAGACGAGCTCCTGTCCGGACTCGTCCTGGTTACGTTTACAACAGGAGGAGGAGCGCGGGCATGTTGAAGAGTGTCAGGACTGTGTTAGGAAATATTGTGGATCTCCTGATGATATCACTCATTTCATCCAGCGCTTTCCTCACAGCAGCCTCGTTTATCGCCCATTTCATCTTCCGAAACGGAATGAAGTCGTGGCTCCTGCTGGTCTCGTTTCAGTCCCGAGGAGTGTATTTGACAAGCGAGAGTAATGCTATCGCGAGTCATGTCGAGGTTAAAGTCGGAGCTTTCTGTGGTTTTTACCGTCTTAGATCCCTGTGGTAACTCGCGCTGAATGCAGGAGCTGGTTGGGATCAGGTTATCTTCAGGCTTTCCATTTCACCTGTACCTTACTAACATGGCACCAGCTATAAACTTAGAGTGCAAACTTGTCAGTGAGCTGTGCATGTACGGAGTTGGTGATGCAGGAAGTATTTAAATGTTCTGATACTTATTGTGTGCATAAAATTAAACTCTTCATCGCTTTCACGCTGCTGAAATCACAGAAACCATCAGGAACACCTGTGCAGTCATCTCCTTTATTAGGCTGCAGGACAGCAAGTTTAAACTGGATCCATTTAAATATTAAGTTTTAGCCGTCACCAGTGGGAGTGTTTACCTCGAATTAAAAGGTTTTGTTTTTTTTTATCTGCTCTGTGCAACTCTGTAATCACCAGATTGATGATTTTCTGCAGTATGAACCTCTGTTACATTTTTATTTTTATGTTCTTTATCGACTTTTTCTATGTCAGTGCTTTCTATCTAACATTCACACATTTGTAGTAACTCTGGGTTAGTATCTTGTCCAAGGATATTTGGCACGCAGACTGGATCAAATCAACCCACCAACCTTCTGGTTAGCAGATGACCTGCTCCGCCTCCTGGGCTACAGCCACCCAGGATGCAGGGATTAGCAGAGAGAGATGATAACCACTATCATCGCACCGTTATCTCAAATATGATTTTAGGTTTTGTCGAGCCAGCTAACGCAAGGAGAGCCTGGCTGTGTTGAACATCAGTCTACCCCTCTGATTTATTTAAATGTTTTCACATAAACCAGTTTACATCTGAGCTCACTGGGAACAAGCGAGTGAAGCGAATCAGTTATCAGTCACGGCAGTATTAGCACTTTCTGTACATCCTGTGCTTTGATTTACCTTTTCATGCCATCTCTAAAAGCTTCCCTTTGCTCTCGTTTCCTCTACTCACTGCGTGTCTGGTTATATTCCTTCCGTGACCTCTGACCTCTGATTGTCAGGGGTGTTGTTGTACCAGTTTTAAACCTCCACAGTCACGTGGAGCAGACCTAAGCATGAGACCTGTAATATGAAGCCTGCTGTTCCTGTTGGTGGTCAGCATGATCAAACCTGTTTGTTTTATTTTCCTCAAAGCTATCAGATAGTATAAGTTTTAAACTTTAAGGTTTCTCATCTGTCAGCACCGTGATGGAAGTGACACACCTACTCGCAGACTTAAAGACGACCTGGCGCGGACTATCAGGATGTGGTGGGGGGGCAAGCACAGAGTAAAGGAAGGCACATTTTGAGGCACTAGCTTGGCATAAGTTTAAAGAAACTGTTGTGCCTTCCTCTAATTAATCGCTGCCAGCGCACCATCCGGTGCACACACTGATGGATCCAAATCAAACACAGCCACCGGGCTGCAGCAGGTGCATGCTGGGTGTGGCTGCGTGCTGAACGGCTCATAGACCGGCTCATGACTGGTAATCATCAGAAATCCCCGAGGAGCTCAGCGAGGGGCAGAGCCTGCAAATATTTAACTTTTTATTGTTTGTAAACAAAGAGGCTGGGTGATCTATTTATACTCTATTGTTTGTTGTTGTTTATAAACGGAGAGCGCGGTTTAAAGTGCTTCAGCCTGCTGCTGATCGTTTAAAGACCGGCTCTCTGGGTTCTGCAGGTTAATGAGTCTCATCTCTGGACACCAGCTGGCTTTTTCTTCTTAGTCATGTTGTTTAATTGTGAGTCAAACAGGAAGTCATTTATGTAACGCTATTAGAGGGCCCTACTAGAATAGCTCTGCATGAGTCGCAGATCATAACCCTCCTTAATCATCTTACATTGGGCCTTGCTCTGTCTGAGTTCATCCTTTGTCTGAAATGAGCCAGTTTAGCCCCGCCCACTTTAAATTAACTTTCTGATTGGCTCTCACTTTCTGGTGTTCAAGTGAAAAAAGAAACATGAACATTAAATGAGGGCATATAAGGACAAGAGATCTGCACCACCTGCTTTTATTGTTGGTCACTTTGTTGTATTTGCTGTCTGTCTGTCAGGAACACATTTGGGGACCCGTTGTCCCGGTTTCCAGCTTTATATTTTTAGTCGCTGACTAGTATATAGTAGCTTTGCATACTTTGCTACTCATAAATAAAATAAAACTTTATTTTATACTGAACCTATCAGTTCATTCTGTCTGAAATAAGCAGTTTTGGCTCCACTGTCTTTAAGAGAACTTCCTGAGGACGATATTACGGACGTCAATATTTCAATATGAGAATGACGTATATGCAAAGAAGTAAATGCATATTAGGCGGGGGTTGTCCATGTTAAAATAAGGACAGTGTCTGTTTATACACCAGAGCAGTTTGTGTAAAATAAATCTGGGCGTTCGTCTTGTAATCGGAAGGTTGCCGGTTCGAGCCCCGGCTCGGTCGTTGTGTCCTTGGGCAAGACACTTCACCTGTTGCCTACTGGTGTTGGCCAGACGGGCCGATGGTGCAATATGGCAGCCTCGCTTCTGTCAGTCTGCCCCAGGGCAGCTGTGGCTACAACTGTAGCTTGCCTCCACCAGTGTGTGAATGTGAGAGTGAATGAATAGTGGCATTGTAAAGCGCTTTGAGGGCCCCGAATAGCACTATATAAATGCAATCTATTATTATTATTATTATTATTATTTATTTCTACAGTTCGATCCTGATGTGGTGTAAATGGAAATTTGGTTGCGTGTTTGCGTTCACGTCGCGGTCTAAAAGCCTCCCTGTGGTTGTTACTTAAAACCTTTCCAGAGTGGTGTACACCAGTGAATACAGACAACATGAAGCAGCTCAAACTGAGCGGATTCACCTCATCTGCACTCTTGCTCTGCGTGTGGCTCATTATTTATTGTTGCTGACTGTGTCTTGGCTTTGGGCACGATGGTCTTCCGAGCCTCTCGGCGGTTCACTGAACACTTCTGTGTTTGTAGCTATTTTCATCCCAGCAGACCAAAGCTCCACTCTGGTTTTGGGGTTTTTATTTTTAGCCCTTTTCTGCCCTTATCTGCGCCTGTGGTGTTGCTGCTCGCAGCAGCTGGACACGCCAGCGTCAGAAAGGACGGAGCCGGAGGTAGAAAGCCTTCGCTTTCATTTTCTTTAAGAGTTTTGAAACAATGCTGGAAAGTTCTGCAGGCAGAGTGAGAAACGGGAGAGACTGTGTTCCAGTCAAATGACCCAGAGGACATCCTGAGACAATCGCACTCATAAACTACACATAACTGTGTTTAGTGGCACTGTGTTTTGCCATAAACTCATCATTAAAATGCATTCTTCAAAAAGCTTCCACCTGTAGATGGAGTAGTTCTGTTCAGAAGACCAGTGAGTCTCTCTGTCGTCTTTGTTTTGCATCATTCTGACTCCAAATTTGTCATTTTCATTTCCTTTAAGGCGTTTTTGAAACAATCAGGTTCTGCAGGCCGAGTGTGAAACGATCTCAGGGGATCCAGTGGCTGTTAAATGACACAGAGGAGCCCTGAGATTCATCAACTGCACTTTTTCCGTTTGTGTCTCTTTAATTGTTATGCATCTTTGTTATTGTGCGTCTTTGAATCTCAGGATCCTGTGAACAGCTTCAGACTTGGGTTGTTGGAGGTTTCCATGTGTTTGTTGAGATCACTGTCCGTTTCTCTGGTAGCTGCTGAGGTCTGACTTCAGTTGGTCAGAATCTCCTCTCCTGGGAAATGCTGAACTTTCCCAGAGTTCCCGCTGTCAGCCACTTATTCCCTCCCTCCTTCCCGTGCTGCCTGGCATGACCCCACCCTTCCTGCTCCGGAGGGGATTTCCCAGAATGTGTACTCCTTGGAACCCTCGCTGTGATTTGTTTGTGATTGTCACTCCAGCGAGGACGGATAGCTCACAGAGCTTACCTTTTGTTTCTCTCTGTAGAACCAGTCTTATTAGACTGAGAATGATCCATTTCTTTATCTGCTTCTTTATGAAGTAAAATAGCACTGCAACACGACTGTTCTGGGATCAGTTTGAAGCCCACAGGAGGAGATTAACACATTACGAGGATGCCACGTCCTTCCACTGGGACCCTCGGAGGGTTCAGACCTGGTTTCAGGGTTTAGGTTAGACACAGATTCAGGTTTAACTTTGCCAACTACTGTAAAACTTACAGGTAAAAACATGTATGTGTT